TTTAAAAAATGGCAAACATTGAAAACATTTTTAATATTAAATTCCGGTTTACCTATAATATTGTTAAGTAGAATAAAACAATATACATATATAAATAGTTTTATGTATGGACGTTTATTTCAAAAAACTTGAAACCTGTTCTCGAATAGGATAACTGAAAGATAAATGCAAACGATTTCTTACGTCGCGAGACGTCGGACATTGTTCGATCGATATGCTAATCGATGGAATGATTTACATGGCCGGGAGAGCAAAGCTCCGAGTGAAGTCAAAAAATAATCGGCAAGGAAACGTAAATCAGAAGAAATATAATAAATGATTGGAGACTTAGGGTGCTTTTTCTTTTCTCGTAGTTTTATTCTTTTTATCATACAATGAACCAAAGTTCGATTGGTACGATCTATCGTTCATCAATCTTCTCTTGCATGCAAGGACTTGCCACACTACTATTTTTTTATTTAACCAAAAAAAATCTGGTAATCTTATGGTAGACACGTCTAATAGATTCAGTAAGCAACCGGTATGGAGATTGGAAAACCCTCAAATTTATATAATTTTTTTCTTGAAGATGAAAGAAATGGATATATGATTTATCATACTATATGTAAGCGGCTCATATTATGATTTATGTTCATATATATAAAAAGAAGAAAAAAACAGCCAATAAGTACTTACGAAGCTGATTTACAATCTCATAGACGATTATTCCTTGTTCCAATTGACTTAAAGCACCGAAATTGTTGACTATAACCGCGACCGAGTCATTAGTGGACAAAGATAAGACCTCGCAAATGCGCTTTAGCATTAGCATCACCAGTTCAGATGCGGTCCTGAGCTTAATTCTCTCGTATCCTGCTTCTCCGTGCACACCCATTCCACATTCTATCTCATCCTGTGCAAGCTCGAACATGAGACCTTGACCTGCATTTAATATTCTTATTGTCAGATTAACCATATCCATGTAGAGTTATTTTAAATAATAATTCTAATTGCCGCAAAGTATCGCAGACACGGCATATTCTTTAATTGCGGCAGTATAAAACTGATTTTTCTCTTGACAAAAATTTCTTAAAACTCTTCTGAAGAGAATTCGCTTCAAATATTTAATGTATATGTGTGTGTGTGTGTGTGTAATATACCAAACACATCAAATTTTCTTGACATTCTCGGGATAAATAATTTAAGCTTTTAAACTATAAATTTAAATGTAAATTGAATATATTCAAATATAATATTTTTTTTTAATATAATAAAGGAACCTTATTGTTAGGAATATCCTTGTTAAGATATTCCAAATATCTGAGGAAATATCCGGTATATGATTAGATAATTGCCCTACCAGATATCCGACCGAAAATCGAATATCCGAAAAGAATGCGGTCCAGTCTGATAATTTTACGATCCGATGCTCCCTAATTACTTCATATATCAAGTATCCGGAAAAAAGTGATTGGGCAACAATAATAAAGGAATAAACTACAAAGGATGATTGCGTTTAACAGAAAAAGCAAACTTTTGTTGTAAACTTCTTTAATATGATTGATTTTATCCTTAGTTCCTCACTAGATCTAAATGTATAAACCAATCATATTCACAAATTTTACAACAGTTGCAAAGCTGTTTTTTCTGTTGAACGCCGCCATTGTCTAGATTCTGATCCATCTCTCTATCCGTCCATCGGATGGAGGAATACCCGCGTTATAGAAGCGCTTGGCCATGCAAGCTTAACACATATACGTATTAATTATCATAACTATGGCGCGATTTGAATGGTAACTTATGAGCCTTGATTGTCTCATACCTGGTATTGCGCACGCGGATAGTCCGACTCCGTAGGTCGCGATGTTTTGTGAAACACGTCGTGCAATTTCTGCTACTTCACACAGAGGAAAACCTTTTTCGGCGTAAGCACCCGCAATTTTGATAATGAATAACATGCCCACCAATCCGCGCTTACCAGCGACGCTCTGTTCGTTTACGGGAATACTGCAGTCATCATTAACGATTACCTCCTCCACCTGATCTTATTAAGATATTATATTTGTATAATTTTCAAATAGGTCGATAATTTTAAAATATTTAATTCATATCATTGTTTGCGGGTAAAAAATGGAAGATTTTCGTTTTACCGCAACGCCCGCTTGCCGAGTCTTCTCAATTGCTATGCCAAAATTTAGACGATCCCCTGTGTAATTAGGTACCACGACCACAATACCATCTAAAAGAAGGTATTAATGTACGTGTGATTTAATAAAAAATACTTATTAATAATAAGTATGTAAAGTAAAAAGACCTTTATTATTTTCTGCAATACACTGAAGAGCATACGTAATATGAATAGACGGTGGCGCTGTAAAAATAGATCCTGCTACGGAAGCTGTCAACATACCGCTGCCAACAAATCCTAAAGAGCAAAAAATTTTTGTACTTTAAGAAGTTTTCGCCCTTCTGAAAGGGCTTTTATTTATGACTTATGTATCTAAACATTTCTAATATAACAACGCACAAATTATATAAGTGAAATATTATTCACAATATTTTTATTTTAGACAATACTTTAGAAAGAAGATTTTATTTATTTTCACGTAAATAAGACAAACGAGATTTACATTGATTGAAATGTTTAACTTAATTCAAGAAAATATATATATATATTGTTTTTTACCTGCAGCAAATGGTTCGTGTCCACTACCGCCACCGCAAATCAAGGCCACTTTACCTTTACGATTCTTATGCTGAAGTATATATATATATATATATATATGTAGATATACATATAAATTGTATTTAGAATTTTAGAGAAATATATATTTATAACAAAGTCATGCAAACGATTATTTGATCCAGTGTTATACATTAATTTAAATAAAAGTAGCCACATCAACGGTATTAAAATAATAGTGTAAACTTTCGAATCAAATGATATTAGTTGTCAAACTTGGAAAATTTGTAAAATTATTTAATACACAATTCTTACTTTTTATCGATACTCTCCCTTATAAA